TAAAAACTAAAGTACAGTTAGCATGTCAACTCTTCGTTGGCTACTGAGAAAGGGGTCAAAATACATGTGGGAATTCCAGATTACAGTGATGTCAGTTTTCGTATAATTACTCCAGATAAGTGTTTGAAAATGCAGAATGCAAGATAGGCCTGCCTGTGCAACTTGTGACCCTTTAAAAATAAAGACCGTTCATTCGATCTTCCATATTATTATCGGCTATTTTCCGAATAACGATCCCGAATTATCGAGGCCGAAAATATACCCTAACAGGGCCTCTGTCACATGTCAATTGCAAACTTCCGGCGACTTAAATTGCACACTTCCTGTGACTACCGCTAGGCGTGGATTGGGGCTAAACTAGATGGCTGGGATTCACGAGCAGCAGCTACCGCATCTCCTGCAGCTTCCTTCATTTTATTTGCCTGTGAGTCCCAGCCATCTAATTTAGCCCCAACCCACTCTCGGCGGTGGCGGAAGTACGCAATTGACATGAGACTGAGGCCCTGTTAGGGTATATTTTTAGTCTCTATAATTTGGGACCGTTATTTGGAAAGATAGCCTTATATCTTCTCAACTTTATTTACCACCAGTGGTGCATAGACCAAGTTCATTGTGGTCTTTACCATTTACTGGTGCTCAGTTTATCTCCTCTATACAATATGTACATTTGCCCGAGCGGGTTATATGTGCACGGTTGTGTGTATGCATGCATGATGGTGTGTGTGTGGGAATGCAAGTGGGTATACATGCATCCATGTGTAAGTGTGTCTGTGTGTATTTTTACAAATGAATGTGTGGGTATGAGATGTGTGTATGCACAGGTATGTGTCTGAGTGAAAATGTTTGTATGTGTTTTGTATGAATTACTGTATATTATATATGTGAACGCATGTAAATATGAGTTTGTGTCAGTAAGAGTGTTTATCTATATTTGTGCAGCTATGTCTATCTGAATGTATACCTGTACCATCCATGCCTTTGTGTTTGTTATCTTATATATATATGTCGAGCTGCCTGGTTTCAAAAAGTACCCAGAGTCAATTCGGAAGATCGGTCTGAGGTCAGACATAGTTCTGTACAAGCTTGTAAAGTACGATGAGCTCTTGGCTGATCTGAGAAGAGATGAAGCATACAGTTAAAACTTTCTAGTAATTTTCCCTGGTCTCTGGGTAGTAAGACTGCATGCCATTATGTATTGCTGCGCACGTTAAAAAAACAACTTGGAAATCGAAAAGAGTAGCATAACGGCACTGTGCGGGCAAAATTTGGAGTTAAAAATATACTTAAAGTATTTTCAGGATCCTCACTGGTGCAACCGAGTTCGTGCACTGCACTGAAATTCTTCAGACTCAGGCTTGAGTCATAAGTAGAATGGAGCACATGCGTTACCCCTTGTGCTTTACCGCTAAACCTAAACGGATTTAAAAATATTTTTTTTTCAAACAATCACTGCCATTTTAATCAAGTTCACAACACTGAGAAAGGTACGAACAGTAAGTATATGAAAGGAAACATTGCTCTATTTCATTCATCTGAGTCTTTAAATTCTCTTCGTCGTGCATTTTTATGTCTCTTTGTATCCATTTTGCCTGTGAAAGGACCTTTTTTTGGATTATTAGGTTTTCTCACTGTGTATGTACTAGGGCTGTACCGAATAGTGATTTTTACTATTTGGCCGAATACGAATAGCGGGACCAACTATTCGGCAGAATACGAATACGAATAGTCCATAGTGTATAAAATAAATCTATTAAAAAAACACACCCCACATTCACAGTGTCAAATGTGCGCTGAACTTTTACTTCACATAAAGAAGCACAGAATAGCCATCTTCTTCTTTAGCATTCTGAGCCTTTGAGGTTTACTGCTGCAGATATCACTTGTCTCCATTCATCTCTCTGGCTGGCCTTATCTTCACAATTTGTGACACCAGTTGTTTGCAGGTCTGGCTGGACATTATCTCTTGAACTTCTTTTTTGTCTGCCTCGTGGTCTACGCCCATTTCTCTCTCAGGTGTATACAGTTTTTACTTCTCTGTCATCTGACATGCTTTCAGTGTGCCCCAACTATTTTAGTCTTTTAGCTCTCATGATGCCAGTGATCAATGGTGACTTAAACAAATTATGTGTTACGTTATTGCTTCTCACTCTCCATTCCCCGCTGTTAGCATCTTTGATGGGTCCAAAGATGTTTTTAAAAACCTATAATAAGGCCTCATCTCTTTTATTTCTGCTTCAGTTTCAGAGCCATTTAAAATGGTCTTATAAATGTTTTATATAATTTGATTTTGGTGTTGCGAGACAGACACTTTGACTTTAGCAGATGTTGAAGGGCAGAGTTTACTTTATTTCTAGATTGTATTCTAGATTGTATTTCTTATCTCAGCATGTTGCAGCAGTTGAGTTTTGCACCAAAGTACTTTTATGTTTCTGTTTGTTTAATTGTCATATTATCAACTTGGATGTGGCCGGAGTTTATATTCTTTCCATGTATAGTTAGTATTCGTACAGAATAGTAAACTTCAGTTCTAGCTTTCAACAAAACCGTGAATGCAGAAGCGGGTGTAAGGTAACTACTATTCGTATTCGGCCCAACCACAACTATTCGGCCAAATACCGAATAGTCAATAGGTCCACTAATCGATCCGAAGCGAATTTGAAGCAAATATTCGGTACAGCCCTAGTATGTACTAGGGCTGTACCGAATATTGGCTTTGTATTCGCTTCGGGGCCAAACAGTGGACTTAATAACTATTCGGTATTCGGCCAAATACTTGCGGTCGGCTGAAAACGAATAGTGGTTACCTTACGTCGGTTTTGCATACACTGCGATGGACTGAAATAACTCTCTCATTAACACAATAGTTGCCTAAGCCTGTCGTGGGGGGGAGGGGGGGGGAGTACAGCAGCTAGCAAAGTCTGCCTGTTGACTCGATGGAGGCATTACAGCAGAGGTTCTCAAACTGGGTGCGTATGCTAGGGGTGCTGCAACGAAAATCAAGAAAAGTCGGTGACATTATTGAAGAAGGCATAAAGATACTTAAAAGTTAAAATTTAAATTGTCTTTTCTTGTTTCACACTCAAGTGAATCATACTACATAAAATGCCAACCGTAGCATGCTAAAAATGATCTTTGTTTTTATCTTGAAGTGTGACTGATCCTTGATCTGTATTCGTAAATGTGCAGCGGATAAGTAAGGTTGTGATTACATTTTTGCTGAAATTTTAAAGTGGAAAATGTGGTCTGTACAATAGTCACTATTAGCTTCCTCAAGTAAGCACTTATATTTAAAGGCAATGCGTTGTGAGTCCTGGACAATCGGTAGGCAGGCCAAACAATTTCTTGAGGCCTCAGAGATGTGGTTTTACAGAACAATGCTTAAAATACTATGGACAGCCAAAAAAAAAAGCAACCAAGAGATTTTGAAACAGGTGGGAGCCCGAAGACAACTAATCAAAGACATTAGAAGGAGACAGTCGCCATTTTTCGGCCATGTTATGAGAAGAGGGAAAATGGAACACTGAAAAAATCTGTGGAAGGAGGGATTGAGGAAGACAACGAGAGAACATTATTGACAGTCTTGTTGCATGACATGGAGGTGTGTCAGCACACGAACTAATACATGCTGCTGAAGATTGCAGATTACGGCGAGGCATATTCGCCCACGCCAGTCGGCAAGGCGCCTGATGATGATGATAGACTGTTCGTATTCGGCCAAATAGTTGGTCTCGCTATTCGTATTCGGCTGAATAGTGAAAATCACTATTCGGTACAGCCCTACTATGTACCCTTACTTACCCAACAATTCATGAGAATTATTTACCCTACATCTCAAAATATAAGACGTACTAATTTTCCAATAAAATAGGGTCTAAAACAGTGTGCATTTTATACAGCGGTAGTAGATTTTCACCAAAACATTTGTTGCAAAATATCCTGTACGGTCCTCATTTGAGGAATGTTGGTTCAGAGGCAACTTAAAGAAACAAAAAAAAAAAAAAAAAAGTAAAATTAACAGTGTTCTTCCACTGTAAAAGTTGTTGTGCTTGTCTTTGCACTCAGTGTTTCGCATTTGTTATATTAGGAATTTGTGTGTCTACTCAGATTTAATGTCAGCATTAACAAACTTTTTAAAGTTGCAATGAGAGTTGAATGGAACAAACGGATAAGTCTTCTGGGGATAATCTGACACCAGCAGATAGTGTGAAGAAACCAATTGTAGGAGAAACATGTGCCTGGGTGGAAAAAAACTGGGATAATATGAAAATTGAGATCATTTCCCAGTCATTCAAGAAGTGTGACAGTTAAAATGCCACAGACGGAACTTAGGATGGAGCAGTATATGAAGACATGGATTCGTCATCAGAAACAGACAAGCTAAAGAACTGTCATATGGATGAGAATTTTGACAGTAATGAAACATGAGTTCAATAACTTTGAGTTTTATTTTTATTTTCTAAATTTCCCATACAAAAATCTAAGTGTCTTATAGATGGGTTTATCAAATACTTGGGGAAATATGGTAGGTTTTCTCAATAAGCTCAAATCTGTGATTTCTGTCACAGTGTTCAGTTCCTCTAATTCTGCTCAGGAATAGTATAGTTAGGTAATGAATGTTCTCCATTTTACCAATCACAGACAAAAATCTTCAGCTAACCGGTATCAAACATGCAACGGACAGACTAGCACACGTAGCAGACAGACTAGCACATATAGCTGACTTACTAGCAAACGTAGCGGACAGACTAGCACACATAACGGGCAGACTAGCAAACATAGTGGACAGACTAGCACACATCCTCTCAGATGATATGAGCTGGTTTAAAAATGAACATGAAATGATATGACAAGCATTCAATGTACACGTGAAGAAGAACTCAAATCTTCAAGAACAATCAAAGAACATTTATTGGTGTTTGTGAGCTACCAGTTAGTGAACTAAGTTCAATCTGCTCACACTTTACATAGAACAAGAACAGATCTTGTTTAGGAAGAACTCCTCAGTTTATAAGATTTGATATCACCTGAAATTTTTTGTGCTGTCCGCATAAGGCCAGCCACTTCTTCACATTGGCTGGAGGATTTGTAGTCTGGCCAGTTTGATGAAGGGCTGACCAGCACACGTAATCAGCCAAACCTGGTGAGGCACCGGCAAGCCAGTCCTTCTTTCCCAGGAGGGAGTTTAAAGTCCTCACGGCTGCTGACTTCTCCTTGGAGTTGCCCTCAATCAGCTGCAGCTGGGCCAGGTCAAGCAACTCATCTACCAGTGTGGCCGAGATGATGTCCTTATCAAAAGATGGGTTCAGCAGGCGTGACAGATAGCGTGCCACATTGGCCTCTCCTTGGATAGTTGTTTGCTTTGTTGGGTCGACCATAAGCTGGGGTCCGTGTGCCACTGTGATTAGAAACATGATAATTATTCATCACCATTAGAATAAATTATGCAGATTTACCCTTACCTCTTTCAGTACCAAATGAAGCACCATGTGTGACAACACTTACTTATATGCACCTGTCAAAATAGTTTTATGCTTGTACATTTTGTGTTTAGACAGGACACAGTCAAACACCCAACAGCAGTCTTCTACAAGGGTTGGATATTTTAGTTATTAGTTCCTGTGGACGTAGTTACCCTATGATGGTCGCTGTCATCACTGCCCCATTTAGAGATCAGCTATGAACGTCTGCGACTGCTGAGTGCTTGTACAGCATTTTTCAACGTTTAAATAAAACTTCATACGTAAAAATCTGCAGCTATAAAAATTAAAACAATCATTAGCGAGTTTATATAAGCACAAGCCCGGCTCTCTAGTGCAGTTGGCTAAACCTGAGTGCGCGGGACCGGGTGATGAACTCCTTGTGGTCCGGGTTCATGCCCGGGAATAGGCAGGAAAGCCACATTTCTCCCAGATTTACAGTATTTAACATGGAATCAAGGCCGAAGGGTTGCGATATCCATAATACCGAGCATAAGGGTTGTTAACTTATTATAAAAAACAGCACTGAGGGGAAAGGGGAGAAAAATTCTTCTAAAAACTGGTTTGTTTATATAAATTCCTGCCATATTTCTCCCACTGGCTACGTTGGTTACCAGGCAATAGGGTCACAGGGTCAAGTAAGCATCATGAGATCATTTGTTTGGAGGGTCCAAGAGATGTAAGCAATGTGATTCTACGCTGCATTTGATTTTTATTGGTTACTTCCCTTATTCTGTTTCCTGTTTGGGTGACAATTTTGTTTTGGAGAGGAGCACAGAGGTTCTTTTTCTAAGAATTTTTGCTTTCAGGGAAGCCTTGCTTTTTGGGGAGGGGAAAGGGGGGGAGGGGGGGCTAGGTCACCAGTTTGAAAGGCTTTAAACACAGAATTACTGTCAGAATAACAAGAAGAAATAAAATTAAAAATGAAGAGATTAGGAGAAGACTTGAACAGAAGCCAGTCATGAGCAATAGATGAGATGAGAGGGTTTGGCCATCTGATGAGAATGCCCTGAAAGCAAATGCCACAAGGTGAAGAAATAACTGAGCACAGAGCAAGGGGAAGACCAAGGAAATTATGGAATGCCTGCATTAAAATTAGTCTCAATAAAACAAACATCAACTTGTGCAACACAAAGAGAGAACAGCCCCCTCTCTCTCCCCCCCCCCCCTCCCCCCAACCTCTGTGAGGCAACTGGAGGAAGAGAATTATAATAAGAATGAGTTTACCAAATTTTAACCTTTCACTTATGAACTTTACCCTTTTTCCATATGAGAGTAATAGCCAGGTCACAATTTCCTCTAGAGATGCCGTTGTTGGATGCCAGGAGATTTCGCAGCTTGTCTGCTACATGATCGGAGACACTCGAGTGTACGAAGGTGGATTTCAGAACCCTGCGCTGACTACCCAATTCGTCGCTCAGCAAAATCAGCGACAGTGGAATTCTCTCTGGATCTACGCTGATTACCAGATCAACAGTTCTATTTATATCACTCTGGAATGATCAAGAAAACATTTTCAGAAACTAAATTACATTGTTTGCATTCAGTGACTTAAGCGCCAAGTAGAAGACCTAATTGTTTGTCCATTTCTAGACTTTGGCTTTGTTCAAGGACCTGAGTTTTGCGTGTGCACCAGTTAAACAGAACTGGCCTAACTGTTCACATACTGCTGGTGCCTTGCCTCTTGGGCAGATGCACTCTGACTTGGAAGGGATCCCCTAATCAGCTGACTCCCACAACACGCTTGTTAAGGACTTAGGGGGATTATTCCTGTTTTCCCACACAGTGGGGCCCCACAACCCACATGAGAAAACATACATATGATAGTAAAAAAAAGTTTATTAAAGGAAAATTTTCCCCTCTAGCGGTGCATCGTACATATAATGTGTGATCTACATTTGTACACATCAATCTATACTTGATGGTTAAGTAGTCATTATCATGCTGGCTACCTAATGATTCATTTCAAATATCTGTTGTCCAAATGACCTATAGAATGAATTGGTTCAAACATCTGTCATCTGAGCAGTCCTACAGAATGACCTGGTTAAAATGTCTGCTAGCCGAAAGAACTATGAATGACTTGGTTCAAATGCCTATCTTACTTTACTTTACTTTTTCCTTCCACGTATGCCGCTAAGCGTTGTGGGGAGATGCAAGTTCCTGTCATAAGCAAGGCGGGCAGCATCTGATGTTCTGAGGCCATGCTTTTGGCAGGTTTCGGAGACCCCGTCAATCCACCGTTTCCTTGGTCTTCCTCTTGCCTTATATCCTGAGCTTCTTTGGTTGAAAATTTGTGATGTTATTTGGTCATTTTTCATCCTGGTTAGATGTCCAAACCATTTCATTCTTTGATGTTCTATGTAGTCTAAACATGGTGTAGTTTTGACAGTGTTTCTAATGTCTATGTTCTTTATCCTGTCTAGTCTGGTCTTATTCGCTGCTTTTCTTAGACATTTCATTTCACAGGCTTCTATTTTTCTTTCATGGGTCTTGTTGATTGTCCATGTCTGGCACTGGTAGCAGAGTGTTGGAATGAAGATGGTGTTTATCAATTGTCTTTTGGTCTTCATGGTTATATCTGGATGTTTAAGCAGAGGTGATAGTTGGTATGTGACAGCATTTGCTTTCTGTATTCTTGTTTCTATCTCTCTGTCCATTCTTCCATCCTCTGTAAATATACTGCCCAAGTATTTGAACTCTTTGGTTTGCTTGATTTTGGCACTTCCAACATTTATATTCAGTGGCCTGTGTGTTCTGCTGATCTTCATAACTTCTGTTTTTTCTGTACTGATTTTCATATAATGTTGTAAACAGCTGTTGTTGAGAGTAGTCAGATGTTCCTGTAGATCATATTCATTTTGATACAGTATGCTTTGATCATCAGCAAAAAGTAATTCGTTTATAGCATACACATCTGGGTTTGCTTCTACAGTGATCTTATCCATGTATGTTATGAAAAGTAATGGTGACAGTACACATCCTTGTCTGACACCAGTTGTGACTTTGAACCATTCAGAAAGACCACTAGATGTTCTTACTGCACTTTCACTTTTTTCATAGAGGGCTCTGATGTTGTCTAATAATTGACCCTGCACTCCGTAATCGTCAAGAATTCTCCACAGCACATCTCTGTCCACACGGTCGAATGCCTTCTCTTGATCTACAAAGACCACGTTCAGCTCTTTATCGTATTCGAGTGTCTTTTCACAGACTTGTCTTAGTGCAAATATGCCTATCATCGAAACAAAATGACTTGATTCCAACATCAGTAAACCAAGCTCATACTATTTGGCTGTTTAGGTTAAAAGATCCGTCAATCGAGTGCGGTACTGTATGACAACAAAGGTGCAGAAGATCCTTGATCAAAGAACCTACCTTATGTCCCAGAAGATTCAAACACACGCTACCAATGGCCACATTGCACTGTGGTTTTAAGTTAGGTTGTGATATCATAGCTATTCAGCACAACTCATTCAAATTAATAAAACACTTGATTAGTCTCACCTTTTACAACATACTTGTTAATAATAATCTATTCTAATCTAGCCTCTCCTGTGTGATCCAAAGGTTTTTTTTTTTTGGTTCTCTTTATCAAAAATGTTCTAGCACCAATACACTTGAGATTGTGCATGTGCATGCTTGCTGAGGGGAGGAGTGCCTGGTCTTGTTTTCCACAAAGTGGGGTTGTGGATCTCGCATGCTTGCTGAGGGGAGGAGTGCCTGGTCTTGTTTTCCACAAAGTGGGGTTGTGGATCTCATGTAAAGACATAGAATGCAGGGCTGGTTATATAGCTTTGTATAAAACATTTACAAGAGCCACCGTGGTTCAGGGGGGAGGGGGGCTTTACCCACATGTAGAAGGATCTGCTGAAATCAAAGCTGTTGGGCCAAAAGCTGCAAATATCCTAGCCTAGCTTTAAACCACTACACCAGGTGCGAATCAGTCTTTTGACAGTGAAAGTAAAAAAGGAGAAAACAAAATGCATCCATGCTATCTGATTTGAAAGACAGAATCAAAAGATACAGCTCAAAAATAAAAACATCAATCACCTCCCCTTAAATTAATGTTTTAAGATTAAAAAAAAAACATCTGGATACTTGCAAGACATTTTCAAAAATTAACTATTCAGATTCTTTTTGTGAGCTCCAGGGCCCTATGATTTGGGGGGATGGGGGGGGGGGGGCACTGAACCACTGCTCTCTTACAAACCTGCTGTAAAAGGCAACTAATGAGAGTTTTGCAGATATATCTTAGCCCAGCAGTAAACCACAATACAATGTACCAACCCTCTTTTCACAGCGAAAGCAAAGGAGAAAGAAAAAGTCAAGTCTATGACTACCAACGTAACACAGCTAGTTACACCTGTGTGCTTGTGCCTGTGATTCTGTGCTTAATCCAAAAGTTTCCATCTGCATACTTTATCTTATTTATAACTGGAGTATTCACCTGATGATAGTGAAATATCTATCAATCAATCAATCAGGTGCTGCCTCCACAATCAAGGTTGGTTGCAATGAATCTCCAACACCCTTGGTTTCTTCAGTGAAATATACCAGGCAATCAACTTTCCCATTTCTGGCACAAGCAAGACAGGGCCTCCAGAAATTGGCAAGTTTATGAAGTCAGGAAAAGTTGTCCTTGTCTTGTGAGGATGCTTTGTTGGCCGCAAGGCCTTCATTGTTAGGAATTATGATAATGGAAATCCAGGATAAATCTTATGGCCATGGCCTGGTAGCTGCCAACGACAAATATCCCAGGAAGGTCCCACGAAGCATGGGAAGAAGTGAAAGCAAAGGTCTAAGGTCAAGTTCATTTGTCAAGGTATTTAATTTCAATCACCTCATGCCTACCAGGTACTCTGTAGACATTAACTGAGAACCCCAGTGTGGGTTCCGGGGTCCCATTGTGGGGGAAACAAGAATAGACCCACTGCCTGCCCAAAAGCATGTCGTAAGAGTCGACTAATTGGGGAGCTTCCTTTGAAGTCGAAGTGCATCTGCAGTCTGTATTCGAGAGAATGAAATCTGTAAAACTGATGCACACGCAACACTCAGGTTCTGGAGCAGGACTGCAGTTCAATAGTGGACAAGCAACCAGAACTTTCCGCCAGAGTGTACAGCTGGTGAACGCGAAGAAGAAGAAGATTAACTGAGAAAACTGTCGTGAACAAGGATATCTTCAGGGATCCAGTCTTTACGAGTAAAGCAAGGAGAGAAGTGAAAGCTAAATTTGAGGAAGGTATAAGACAGGAAAAAATAAATGGTTTTTCCAGAAGCTGAGGTTTTAAAGCAGTTTATTGAATAAATGCCATGAACCAAAAAAGGGGGGCCAATAAATTTGTTGTTTAAACTTCATCATGTGCCCTTCAAGGGGTGGTTGGTACATTGTATTGTGGTTTACAGCTAAGCAGCAACATCTGTCTTTTGGTCCAACACATCTGATTTAAGCAAACCCTTAATTGCCTTTTTACAACATGTTAGGGACAGCAATCTGTCTCCCCCCACCTCCAATCCCCAGAGGGACTGGGAGCCCACATGAGCAGCTCACACAAGAAAATATTGAAAACAATTTTCTAAAGAAGAGAATGCTTACCAACACTGAACCTGGCAAGACTTGACACTGAGCATTTCCTGTGGTTTTTGCTGACGACAATGTGCTCACAGACGATGATGTAGTCACTGATTCTACTGTAGCTGCTGCTGGGACTGCTGCAGCTGCTGTAGTCGCTGACTGTGTAGCAGACAGAGTTTCTATCACAGGGACCCTGTATTTCTCAGCCAACTCCGACACTGAGATCTGCAAGTTCTCTAGTTTTTGTAAAACATCCTCCTGTCGCCTTTCCAGAACAGACAAAGGGCTGGTGCCTGCAGCTGAACCCTGTCCACACAAAAAATCATAAATTAGAAGAAGCTGCAGTAGCGAAGTATTTACACACCAGTACACTGATCAAATAGAATACATCTTCCTTGCCAGATAAATGCTGTTGGAATAGACCAGACCCTCCCTGCCAGATAAATGCTGTTGGAATAGTCCACACCCTCCTTGCCAGGTAAATGCTGTTGGAATAGACCAGACCCTCCCTGCCAGATAATTGTTGCTGGAATAGACCAGACCCTCCTTGCCAGGTGAATGCTGTTGGAATAGACCAGACCCTCCCTGCCAGATAAATGCTGTTGGAATAGTCCAGACCCTCCTTGCCAGATAAATGCTGTTGGAATAGACCAGACCCTCCTTGCCAGATAAATGCTGTTGGAATAGACCAGACCCTCCTTGCCAGGTAAATGCTGTTGGAAAAGTCCACACCCTCCTTGCCAGGTAAATGCTGTTGGGACAGTCCACACCCTGCTTGCCAGGTAAATGCTGTTGGGACAGTCCACACCCTGCTTGCCAGATAAATGCTGTTGGAACAGTCCAGACCCTCCTTGCCAGATAAATGCTGTTGGAATAGACCAGACCCTCCCTGCCAGATAAATGCTGTTGGAATAGTCCAGACCCTCCTTGCCAGATAAATGCTGTTGGAATAGACCAGACCCTCCTTGCCAGATAAATGCTGTTGGAATAGACCAGACCCTCCTTGCCAGGTAAATGCTGTTGGAAAAGTCCACACCCTCCTTGCCAGGTAAATGCTGTTGGGACAGTCCACACCCTGCTTGCCAGATAAATGCTGTTGGAACAGACCAGACCCTCCTTGCCAGATAAATGCTGTTGGAACAGTCCAGACCCTCCTTGCCAGATAAATGCTGTTGGAACAGTCCAGATCCTCCTTGCCAGATAAACACTGTGTTGGAACAGCCTAGATCCTCCTTGCCAGACAAACACTGTGTTGGAATAGTCCAGACCCACAAACAGTTGAAACAGTTCAGACTAGGGCAGTCCTATCAGCAGTTACTCTGCGGCAAATTGGTTAAGTTTATTGTAACAAACTTTGAAGGACAATTTCAGAATCCATCATCAACACAAGAGTGCAGGTGTTAAGATCCCGGGAGCTATGAAGTTTGTACTTTGTGGGATGTTACCAGTGAGTGACAAGAGACTTTTCAAAGAGAAACCAGGTAATATGAGATAGCACCCAGTGCAATTATGCCGATCCACTCAAATTATAAACACTTTTTAAACTGACACTTGGGTATAAAATGGTAGACATTCATAATTTTGGCCCACAACATTCTTCTTCTTCCTGTTTGCTCTTACAAGGGTAGTTAGCACTTTGTGTTGTGGTTTACAGCCAGGCTGTGATATATATGCCTTTGGACCAAATACAGCCAATTTCAGTTAATCCTTACCTAGTTATTTTTTTTAATGACATGCTTGTTAAAAAGCTTTTTCTTTCCTCTCCCAAAAAATGGATCTCACAGAACCCAAAGGGCAGGGCAACAAATATATTAGGTGTGGTTTATGAAGCAAGCCCAGTCTTTAAACATTTACACTTCCTTCAAATATCAAAGCAAAGGTTGTTACTTAAAAACCTTGCTACTTTGTTTAGTAAGGTGATGATGTAATAGCAAGCACTGAAGGATGCCCCAGGTGAAAATATTTATGTAAGTGAGAAAAGTAAAGGACTCTCTTATTGCTACTGACACACTGTGCATATGGTGCTGGGCCAATATTTATATAAAATGACGGGCACTTGATGGGGACATGGTCAGTTTCACACTAGCTGCCTTTACTTCCCAGGAGTCTCCGCGTGGGTTCCAGGCCTGATTTTGGTGGTGGGAAAAATAAAAGAATAGACCAACCACCTCTTAACCAGCATTTTATAAAAGTGACTAAGATTTTGCTTAAATTTTATGTGTTGTGCCAAAAGGCGTAGATATCACAGCCCAGCTGTAAAACACAGCACAACATGCCAACCAGTCTTTTAAGAGAGAGCGAAGAAAAACAAGCAGAAGAAGAAGAGGAGGTGGAGGAGGAGGAGGAGAAGAAGAAGAAGAAGAAGAAGAAGAAGAAGAAGAAGAAGAAGAAGAAGAAGAAGAAGAAGAAGAAGAAGAAGAAGAAGAAGAAGAAGAAGAAGAAGCAGCAGCAGCAGCAGAAGAAGAAGAAGAAGAAGAAGAAGAAGAAGAAGAAGAAGAAGAAGAAGAAGAAGAAGAAGAAGAAGAAGAAACAGATATGTATCTGTTGGTGCAAAGCTTAGGGTCAACATGAAAGCCAAGATCAATTATACAAATGAAACAAATCTGCTCTGGCGAAAACATTTGTGCTGTGCCTATTTAACATTCATTTTTCAAACTTACTGCAGACGATAAATGGCCTTCAGGTGTCTGGGCTGTGTGGCTGGCGAGTGGGAATTTTGGTGATGGGGAGGGCGTGGCATTCTGTATACTATAAGTTTTCACAATATAAGCCTTGCTGAGAACACAAGACTCAGATGTGTTGGACGCCTCCAGCGAGGAACACAGGTCAAAGTTTGTTTGAGAACCTTGATCAATGAGTGTGCTTTGATGTCCCCCGGTACCAAGGTTTGACACGGACAGATGACTGCGATCACTGCACAGATGTGGGGCACCACCAGTGTGGCCAGGTTCTGTAGCCGAGGACAGCAGCTTGGACATTTCCCGTTTGTCTTCAAGCCTGGGCAGGCACGCTGGGCTCCCAGTCCGGCTAGACTTATCCAAGCCAGACATGGTCAGGTCCAGCCCTTGATCTAAACACTTCTCATGTAATTCACTGTCAGTGCAGCTCAGCATCGCTTCCTCTTCTGCGTGTTTTTTGGAGCATCTTTTCCAGGCGCTGCGCAGGTTTTGAGCGCACCTTGAAATAACATTTCCCATCGTCACCACCACGCTAAGCCACACACAAACAATTTATGTCTTAATTCTCCTTTACTGTCTATTTTGGTGTAAACATTAAATCTGCATTCACTTGCTAATAAACAAGGATTAGATGGAGACAGGTTCCAGGCAAAGACATTCGTTGTTCCCACAAGTGTTTAGTCCTTGCCTAATATTAAAAGAACTATTTTGCTTCAACACAACAATGAAACATCACTTACTATCATAATGACACTATTTAACTACTTCTACAGTGAGATCTCACTTCTGTCTCCCTTGTCGGTTCCGGGGCGTTCTGGGGGGGGGGGGGGAAGCGGGGGCAGGGGGTTTAAACCCACTGCCTCCTAATAAGCATGCTGTAAAAGTCAACTAATTAGCGGTGTTTCCTTCAAATCTGCCTGAGAGGGGTGGAACCAACAGTCTGCACACAAATAAGCCACCCAAGTTCTGGAACAAGACTACTAAAGTCCAGAAGTGGACAAACAACTAGAACATTTTGCAGAAGTTTACAGCCAGTGAACGCGACGAAGACGAAGATTACTACTGCTGCTATTACTACTACTACACACAGTGCGAAGATCATGATAGCGGGGCCTGCCTGTAAAGTCACAAATTCTAAATACAAACTAAGCTTAACTGTGCCGCCCCCCCCCCCCCCCCCCAATGTTGAATGCTGAATTAAGAATCGACATAACAGCACTCAGGACATTTCCATAAGCGCTCCGTCCTTATCTTCAACAGCGCAAGCGAGTTCCAATTCCAATGGTGCTACTAACTGCCTGACTGCATCCGTCTCGCCCTTCCCCTGAGTGTTGAGCGTCGGTCAGATCCCCTGGTAACTCCTCGCAGCGCCATTCTCCTCAGACCGTAATGATCTATCTGCGCCTCCGCACTGTTGCCCCCAAAGGGTCCTCACAACATTTAGCTTATCATACATCAATTCACCGACTAGCGGTGAAGACCCGGCCAGTCTATCATGCTGCTCATTCCCCAACACACCGGCATTACCTGGAAAAAATTGCCGAAGAATGCAAACTACCCTGGGCCTCTGAAGTGATGCTTGCAACGCTGGACGGAGCAAGCACTTCTTTCCCCAAATGTCGTTCTAATTTAAGCAACAATCAATAACTCCAACAACTAGTACAGCCCATACAACAAAATGACAAGTCCCGTCAGTAAGAAGTCGCACATTCTAAACACTTATTAATTATTTCCAAGCAACTTTATACTATAAGGGTCGATCTGTACCCCAACATGTACTATAAAAACACAAACTATACCAAGACAAGACAACAAACCAAACGATAAGTGAGTGTTGCGGCCAGAAAGCCTTCATCAGCCTACTGTGTGAATATACAACGTTACAATTACGACCAAGAACACACACAAGAAGAATAGCAGTATAAAGATGACAACAAGGTCTGTCTGTGAGAAGTATTCTCCTTCTCTCCCTCCAGTTATCTCACGTTTTTAATAGATATACTAAGCTTAATTACCAAAACTATTTCCAAGTGTCTTT